ATGGAGGTAGTGCTATTGCAAATGATCATAACGATGATTAATGCATTACAGGACACCACTTCATAGAGGCTTACATATTATTATCACCGCAAGTTAATTTAGCCCGGCTCAGGGCCGTTAACCGAAAGAATCCTGCGCCGCCGCACACCGAGATATTACTACGGATCATTACGATGAAGCGCCAGACGCGCACGCGGCATCAACGCCGTAAACGAATGAATCCTGCGCCCGCCGCCCCGCGATGTTTTTTATTAACTCTATCGATTGAAGCGCCAGAAGCGACACGCCCGGCTCAAGGCCCGTAAAACGAAGGAATCCTGCGCCCGCCGCACAGAGAGGTACTTCCGCTCATTACGTGAAGCGCCAGACGCGCACGCACGGCTCATGGCCGTAAAACGAAGGCTCCTGCGCCCGCCGCACAATACGCTCATACGATTGAAGCGCCGCGAGAGCGCAATTTTAGAGAATTAAGTTCAGGACCGCTGCCTATATGTTCGAAGCATAATACTTGCCTATTAGCAAAGGTAGAGATTCTTGTCCAATTACTTTTTCTCTCTTCGGTATGATGGTATCTACAGACTCGATATCCAAACAAATCCATGTAATTAACACCACTTACTTGACACATACCCTTCTCGTATAACAAATTATCTTATGATGCCCTCATTTTTTTTCTTGCAACTTAGTAAGTTGATTGACAAACACAATATCCTCCTCCTACCCTTTTATGGCTGTACACTTTATTGCAGCTTATGAAGAATGATGACCCTCTCGCTACTAAGGTTGCACCTCAGTGCGAAAACCTCGCCGCACCCGCTACCTCGGCACGGCAGGAACGACCCCAAGCGAGCATAGGATCACTAGGAACCATCTGTAGATACCGCAGAACCTGTATCCCTAAGTCTGCTACTGTAGGGCAAGCGTTGCAGACGCGCGAGGAAGAGCCTGTCGCGCGGCCGAGCGATGTGAACAACACGTAGCAAGAACGGATGGCAGATTCACACCTCGGTCCAAGCAAAATGCCTTTCTCACTTGCGCAGGATGCAGGTGCTTCCCTCCTGTCTCTTTTCAACAGGAATAAACATCCGCCTCCAAGGAACCGCCGCATAAAAGGGCACGTGCATAAGAACGGGGGACACAGAAAGGAGACACGGCAGACAGGCAAGCGAAAACAGGGTCCAGCTCCACCACCGCGTCCTCACGGGGACCGGGGGTCTATTGGGGGTCTCATATCTACCTTCAGAAATAAACCAGCAAGTAAGACCTCCATTTCATTGACCGCACCAAGACATCTCGGGTACGCTTACACTAGTGGCTTGCGTGGTCAATTACGCTAATCTGAATGGCACGGTGGGATCAAGAACCTCACAACGCCTTACGCTTACCACACACAAATCTATAATAGATATATTGACTACATGGACATATAATCTATATATATATATATATATATATATATAATATATATATCTATCTTATGATATAGATATAATATAGATCTTATATATATAGTTTTCTTTCTTTCTTTGTCTATTGAGATGAAACAAACAAAACAAAACAACAAAAAAATGGGCATTCTTCTGAAACCCTGAATGCCTCTAACATTTACATAGTTCTGATGCATAAAAATTAGAAAGTAACGGGAAATGCCACGGGAATACCAGAGAATGAACAAAGAATAAAACAAGAAGAAAATGTAAGAGAAAAGGAATATGGAAAGGAAATTAAACGAAAGAGGAAAAAAAAAAAAGCCAATGAAAATATGATTCTGGATGTAATAACAGGGGGAGAAAAATAAAATCAAGAAAAAAATAAAATAATAAATGTAAAAAAAATACTTACAAATATGCATTTGTACATACCACCGCCACCCACATCCTCATTACGATACAGATACTAGAATGCTGATAATTCCGTGAGTAACGAATAACATGTAAATGGCTTTATCCATCGACAAGACAAGATTCGCCCCTTTTGTGGAGGAAAAAAGAGAACCGCCCTTGGGCGGGGGGCGGTGGCGCTTTCGCGTCTCCGTCAGGTTGCTTCGTCTCTGGCCGCATCTCTGTCCTCTGGGCGATTTGTTTCAGTACCTGTCAGTTTTACCCATTTCCTTTGTTCATTTCATACTACGAGAGGGTACCTTCTTTTTTCTGTATCTCTGCTGCTTCTCTCTCGCTCTCGCCTCTCTCCGAGCAAGCAGAGACTGGGCAGTCGAGTAGACCGTCATGATCATGGCCGTAAAACTCACCCTAACGAACGCATAGATATATGTTTGCATCGTTCACGTATTGAACATAATTAAATTCTATGGATTACAAATTTGGAAGACTACCATCTTTTTCAAATTAGGTAAAACATAAAAATTTTCTTTGATACCTAATGAGCACCGTTATCATATCTGATCTGTTTTCTTTATCGCTTATTCCCGTTCTAAAATTGTATTTCTCGTTCT